TCAGTAATTAATAATCTTCACCAGTAATTTTCCTGAATGTACCACAGAATTCCGGCAAAGTCCTTTTCTGTCACATTTTAGCAAAGTTCACACGACAGTGGGATTCCACATACTGATTTAAACAATGTATTACTAACAGGAAACATCTTGGCTTAGTGGGGATTTGAATTAATTCTAAACCCTATTGCAGATGAGCACTGCAGGAGTTTCAGAATTCCAGAACAGAAGTGCTGCCAATAGAACAATGTCACTGACACAGTAATCCAGAGACAGGCTAATGTTTTGAGGAAATGAGTTCAAATCCCTCCATCACATCTTGTGGAGTTTAAATTCAATTAATAAGTTTGGTGTACAAAGCCAGATTCAGTAATGGTGACCAAGGTAGTATGACTGATTTGCAAAATCACATCTGATTCACCAATGTCCTTTACAGAACGAAATCTTCAGCCCTTTCCTGGTCTTGTCTAGATGCAACTCCAGACTGCAGTAATATGGCTGATTCTTAACTATCTTTTAAAATGGCCTAATAAGCCACTCAGATAAAGGACAATTAGAGATTGACACATATGCTGGCATGCCAATGATGCTCACATCCCATGAAAAAATAATGCAAAACAACGCTCAATCTGCATGTTCAGCCCAGTCATATTTGAAGGAATGGGATAAGTAATCTTAGTGAATGCAAAACTCTACCTCCACCAGTAATTTCCTTATGGTAATTTGCAGGATGTTCTGTGTACAGCTGCCTGTGAGATCTGCTAACAGGCAGCAGTGACTATCATTATTGACCGTGAAATCCTTGAAACTGTTGTATTTGTGCAGGATCTTTCATTGTTTTGGATTTAGCACATGGTTTCCCGTCTTCTGTTTTACATTTTTGTTCCATTATGCTCATTCCTGGTTTGTGTCCTTTTAATATTGCTCCTGAGATTAATGCTCATAGTGGGTAACATATCTGTTCCCAAGTTGGAATGTTATAGAATCAAGTTCAGCTCCTGAGTCTTCAGCAGGTAAGTCACGCCAGTCTGATATTTGATCACAGAGGAAATACTGTTGGAGGGTCAGCACTCTACTTCTGGCAGGTCAGCACAATGGGAACACTACTTTTGCAGCATCAGCACTGAGGGAACACCCATCAAATCAAAAGACTTTTCATATGAGATTTGTACACAATCTAATAGTTTAAATGCAGACTCTGAAATTTCTAGGGTTAAATTTCTTTTAACTTGCATAGCCCTTCAAATCCACAATACATTCTTTCATGGACTGATAGTCCATATTCTCAACCTTATCAAATATTGACCAATCCTCATAGGTATCCAACAAGTCATCCTTTTTGTAAACTCTGTCCATAAATTATGTTAAAATCTCCAAAACCTCTTAATTTTCAAGGCCAGTTGCATCAGGTTACAAAAATACTGTATTCCCAGTACTTCTCCTTCCTGGTAAGGATAAAAACCAAAGCCATACTACCTTGACAAAAAATAAAGAACTGCGGATGCTGGAAATCTGAAACAAAAAACAGAAATAGCTGGAGAAAAGCATCTGGTCTGGGAGTATCCAAAGAGAGAAAATGTTTTGGCTCTAGTGACCCTTCTTCAGAATGCCTTGACAAGGCATTTTCCAAAATTTGCTTCCACAGCCACATCATGTTCCTCAGTAATTCCTCTGGCTCAGACTTAACTCATGTGAATTCCAAATAAAGTTTCATCCTTTGTGTTTCGAATCCATCCAGGATCATAGATGTCGCCATGATGTACAACAACTCCCGAGACAGCTGTTCTTGACGTATCCTGAGGTCTACAATCACGCGCTGCCACATGCACACTCTCGACCTCTCTCTCCATCAGCACCACCTCACGCTGTCTCAGAGCTGCCCTGCCCCCAGTTCCACTTCATTTTTTGGGTAGTTTGACAGTCTAACAAGGAACGTTTTCTCTTCTCTTCAGGCATTAAGGAACACAAACTGCAACAACTCAGGGATATGCAGGCCCCTCTGGAACCTTCCTCCCCTCCTCTTCTCTCTGTCTCCAGTTCTTCTCCTTGCTCCACCTCATCAAATATTTACTATCCATCTGACCTTCTGCTCTCTCTGCTGAATGTTCTGAATTCAGCAAGGGTCTTAGTTCAATCCCTCTGTGCTCTCATCTCCATGAATGTCAGGCACAACATGACACTGAACTCTTCTTTCGTTGCTTTCTGTGCCTGTTTGTTTGGACAAGAGTTTTCTTTCCGTCCCACAGGCCCCTTCACCCACCTCCAACATTCTCTCTTCACTTGGACCCCTCCCTCTGGCCTTTTACCTGCAGTTGACTTGTTCATGTGAATCACTTGCCTTAATTTCTCTGCCCCCGTCTCACACATTCGCACCTATCTCCCTCTGAAGTGAATGAACTCTGCGCTCTCAGATTTAACCCCGATTTCTTGTCTGGCATACCAAGCTCTGCATTGCAGAGGCTAAACACTGGCTCTCGGACACCTCCTCCTATCTCCCACAGACCTATTATGACCACAACAGTCACTAATCTCATTTCAACTGCTGACCTCCCCCACACCCACAGCCTCCAAGTTTATAGACTCCAACCATGTTCTACATCCTTTGCAGTTCTAAAGAGTCATTGGATCCAAAACTCTTTCTCTCCACAGATGTCGCCAGACCAGAGTTTCTCCAGCTAGCTGTATTTTTGAGGCATACCACTTTGCTTTATCTTGGTTAGAAAAGTGAGTACATATCTCCACCTCATTTTTTTCATAGATCATATAGCTCCAATTGTGAAAACACAAGTGGACATTCATAACTTGTGACTCAGACATTTCACTTTAAAATCCCACCAGATTTGTTTTGATCAGAAGCAGGGGTTACCTTCTGCTTTATCTTCTTGTCTGAAGAGCTAGAGGGTCCTCCTCTGCTCCCATTTTTAAAAGACCAACATCCAAATGTTGAATTAGGCAGCGAAACACTCCTTTTCAGAGTTCAATTGTAAATTTGTAGTTTGACATGAACACCAGTTCCTACTTTTCCCACTTGGACGGTTTCACAGTCCAAAAGCCAATTCCTCCACTTGGGGAATGTTACGAAGTTGGGTAAAGTATTCATGAATTGGAAGGCAGGAAGTTTGAATTTGTTGATAAAAATGATCCTGGGGAAAAGAATGCCATGTTCCTTTTAAGAGCTTGTGCTTTGTCTGTGCTTGGAAGTTTATAAATATAAGTGCACAGAGACTGCTCGAATTGAAACATTTTGTATAGAACAGCCAAGCTGCATTTTTTCCAAGATAACAAGTTTCAGATTGGCTAATTAATTTTAACGAAGCACCTGGATACAGAAAACCAACTGAATTTAAATCTGATGATGTTGACAACCTGAAACCAATCAGATTATAACAATTTGATTCGGTATATAAGACGAGGGCATTTGGAAAATCGGAGAGAGTTATCCGCCACCTGCCAGAGTTAGCACAATTCAGCTCTCAGAGAAAGCACATCTAATTAATCAAAAGTACCACGGTATTTTAGCTCAAAGTCCTCACTGAAGAAATTATAGAGATGAAACGTCCCTAACAGCAGAATTAATGGAAGAAAAGTGTTTGTGAAGAGACTGGAGATGACAGCATATTCCAGTAGGCAGTCCTTGTGAACTTGGAGAGATTAAGTTATAATTTATTACTTCTTATTAATTGAGTTTATATTAGTGGGACTTGTCTTTTTTAAACAGCATTCCAGTAGAATTTAGACCAGTTAAGGTATAGTTAGTAATCTAAGGGGGAATTGTCAGTTTGTTAGTAATTTTGTTAATTTGTTCATTGTTGGATTAAATAAATAGTTCTTGTTACTTGTAAAGTGGAGATTAGGGATTTTCTTTCTTTTAACCACTCTTTTAACAGATTACGAGGGGATTGAGGAGCTTCTCTGTGTGTTTCGGGGGTAACTATTAGACGGGGACCCCTACTCCTGTCCTAACAGATTGGGGCTTGTGTTTTAGTTGAATTATTCGAGGTGTTCGGCCATTCTCCAGCGTAGCAGGAAGAATCAAAAATGTGTCAGCGCAGGCTTGGAGGGCTGGAGGGCCTGGTATTGTGCTCAATTGTCCTTTGTTCCTGTTCTTTAATCCAGATCTTAAACTTAACGAAGTGACTGTTGGCACCAACAAAAGAATGACAAATGCCTTTATGTGCTCACCACTTTTTTTTTTCCAGATTGCATACACATGCATGATATAAAGCTTTTTAAATTAACTTCTAGTTGAACAATTTTTTCCTTTTTTTTACATTTATAAGTGTTTCTTAGATTTTAACATTCTTTATTTCAATTCAATTCAATTCAGAGATGTCGTTGCTACATTGCATGATCCTCTGTGTCAGCAAATGCAGCCTAAATTCAAAGTCCAATGAGCATAATCTGTTCCCGAACAACTCTGGATCTACTCTAGTTTACCCTTTAAGGGAACTGCATTTTTTAACACTGAGAAGCTACACACTATTCTGACTTGGAAATGTATTGCCATTTCTTCATGTTGCTGGGTCAAAATCCTGGAATGTCCTTTCAAACAGCATACCTATGCAAACAGACAGCAGCAGTTCAAGAAAAACTTCCCAATCAACTCCTCCAAGGCATTTTGAGATGTATAATAAATGCTCGCCTTAAAGGTTTGCTCACAACTTTGAGTGTTGTATCAAATTATCATGACCACACTTCAGAGTCCTTGAGGGCGAACAGCAAATTTACCAGAATGCTTCCAAGGATGAGAAATTTTAGTCACAAGGTTAGAGTATGGAAACTGGGTTTGTCCTCCTTGGAAGGGAAGATCTGGCAGAGGCAAACAAGTTTATGACCGGTTTGGATAAAGAGGACAAAGAAGAGCTTTTACTATTAGCTGATAATGCAATGATTATTGGACACATATTTAAGGTCTGGACTAGTGCAGGGGAATGTGAGAAAGAATTATTTTAACGATCCAGAACTGTGGCACACAAGTGGAAATGGAAAGACGGAATATTTACCCCTCTTTGACGATGTAACTTTAGTGCGACCATGCTGCACAGTATGTTGTGGAACAGTGACCTGAAAAAAAAAATTATTTGTTATTCCTTGGATATGGGAATAGCAGCTTAGGACTTGATGACACTGTAATTTTTTCATGTTCGGAAAAAGGAGAGATGGATACACCGCATTGGCCAATCAGTGGTCACGGGAGGGTAAGAATGATTCAAAGACAGAATTTACTTCTCAATTGGAGAATATATTAAACGGGTAGAGTCAGCACAGATTAGATGTGAATTCTTTGATGAAATAATGGTTTGAAAAGTTAGTATGTAGTAATCACAGCACAAACATGGGCCAGTCAAAAAGTCCATACTATTGTTAATCAGGAGAAGAAGTCTCCTCTGACCCTCCTTCATCTAACTCCATGAACACATCCATCCATTCCTTTCTCTCTCATTCTTTTCCCTTAAATTTATTCCAGCTTTCACTTCCTGTGTCATGAGTTCCACATTTAACTCCATTCTGGATTTTACTTTATTAGTTACTATCTATTACGTATTGCTGCTTTTATCTCACATGTGGAAACATTTTCTCTATGACCTATTACACGCTTTTCATAAGTTAAAACCCTCCCATTAGTTGCCCCCATCTTCTCTTCTCTCAAAAAAGTGCTCCAAGTACGTTCAATGTTTCCTGACAGGTACAGCAAGTCCTCTCCCAAAATTTCATCAAAGATGGAATCTTATTTAACCAGTTTATTTGAGCTCTTTAAAGGAGTAGCATGCACTGTAGATAAAGGGGAGCCTGGAGATATACTTTGCTTTCTAGAAGAATTTGATAAGGTCCAACATCAAAGGTTACTGCATAAAATAAAAGCTTATGGTAAGGAAATAATACATTAGGAAATAAGACACGGATAGAAGATCTGTCTCAAGTTTTTTCAAATGACATCGATGACTTGGATAAGGAGAGCCAAAACTAGGTTCATAGATGACAGCAAGATGTGGAGAAAAACATGCTGTGAAGACACAAGGAGCTTGCACAGGGATATCGATAGGTTGAGTGAATAGGCAAAAATGTGGAAACTGGAAAACTCGCTTTGATAGGAAGAATGAAAAAGCAGGGCATTTCTTAAACGGAGAATAACTGCAGAATTCCAAGGTTCTTCCTCATTTAAGACAGGGATGAGGAGAAATGTTTTCTTGCAGATAGTTTTCTTCCTCAAAAAGAAGTGGAAGCAGAGTCTGTGAATATTTTTAAGGCAGACTTGGATAGATTCTTGGGAAGCAAGGGGGAGAAATGTAACCAGAATTAGCAGGAATGTGGAGTAATCAGATCAGCCATGATCTTATTGAATATTACAGCAGGGTTAAGAAGCTGGGGGCATCTTGCTGGCCCAAATTTGTATGTTTGTATGCTTGTATGATTTAGGCACTTTCATCTTTATCCTGATGTCTTTAACCACTGCATTATACTGTCCCCTACACCCAGTATCTGGATCATTTTGATATCTGGTAATCATTGAGTTCCTTATTTTTCATGGCACCGTAGAAATTTCCATCTGTTTCATAAAACCTGAAGGAAATACCCATTTTCCCAAGAATGTTTTAAGGAAGTGGACATCTCATTCAATATGGTCTCCCACTGAGAACCCAGTACCAGTCTGAACCACGTGTCCCTAGGATATATTTGGCACAATCCAGCAATTTAAAGATAAGTACTTGTCCAGGGATACTCAAATTGCATTTTGTCGACAGAATATTGAAAAAAATAACTAGAAGATAAATAAGGAAGGAAAAAATAGAAATAAGAAATTTCTGAAGGGGAAAATTAATCTCTATTTAAATAAGCAAGGTTTGAGCAAGGGTAGTCAGCATGGGTTTGTCAGACGTAGGTCATGTCAAACAAATCTTCATGAATTTTGCGGGGAGGTGACCAAGTATGGACATAGATGAGGGTAGTCCAGTCGATGTTGCTTTAATCAAATTCACTAAGGCCTTTGACAAGGTCCCATATGAGAGACTGATAAAGAAGCTAAATGCATCTGGAATCCAGGATAACTTTGCAAGTTGGATCAAAAATTGGCTTCTTGTCAGGAAGCGGAAGGTGGTAGTAGAATTTGGTTGTGTAATTGGAAGCTGCTGTCCATTGGTGTATCACAGGGATTAGTATCGGGTCCTTTATTGATTGTGGTATATATGGATGTAGATGACAATGTGGGGTGACGATAAGTAAGGTTGCAGATAAAGATGAAGATTGGCCGGATGCCTGACAGTGAGGAAGAAGGTCTGAGGTTACAGAAGGATATGGATGGATTGGTCAGATGAGGAGATCAGTGGCAGATAAAATCTAACCCTCATAAGTGAGAGGTGATGCACTCTGGTAGAAGTAACAAGACAAAGGAGTACCAAATGAATGCCAGGACACCAGGAATTTTAGAGGAACAGGGCATCTTGGGATGCTTGCCCACAGATCCCAGAGGGTGACAGGGCAGTTAAGAAGGCATACAAGATGCTTCCCTTTATCAGTCAAGCCATAGATTATGCGAGGAGAGAGGTTATGTTGGAGTTGTATAGGACTTTGGTTAGGCCACAGCTGGAGTACTGGGTGCAGTTCAACACTATAGGAAACATATGATTGCATTGGAGGGGGTACTGGAGATTTACCAGGATGATGTCTGGGATGGAGCATCTTAGTTATAAACAGTGTCTCGATAAGCTCAAGCTGTTTTCTTTGGAGCAGGAAAGGTTGTGAGGCAACCTGATGGACACATAAAATTATGAGGAGTATGGACCAGGTGGATAGAAAGCAACTGTTCTCCTTCGTTGAAGGGTCAATGACACTTTTAAGATGAAGGGCTGAATGTTTAGAGGGGACTTGAAGAAAACTTATTACATTCAGAGTGTACTAGGTATCTTGAATCCACTGCCCGGGAAGGTATTTGAGGAAGTTAGCCTCACAACCTTTACAAAGTATTTGGGTGAGCACTTGAAGGTGTTCTAACATTCAAGACTATATGGGCCTAGTACTTGAAAGTAAGACTACTGGAGATTGAACAATTATTTTGCGTTGGTCTTCACTATCGAGGAAACAAGCAGCATTCTGGAAAGAGCTGTTAATCAGGAGTCTGAATTGAAGGGAGGAACTTTAAAAAAATTACAATTACCAGAGAAATAGTAGAGTAAACTGTTAGAATTATAAATTGACAAATCCTTCGGTTCTGATGGATTTCACCCTTGTGCCTTCATTAAAAGTATCTTGTGAGATATTGATGTTTTGGTTTTAACTTTCCAAAACATATTAGATTTGGGGAAGGCTTTAAATTAGAAAAAAAAAGCTAATGTGACTTCTTTATTCTAAAAGAGAGGGAGGGAGAAAGCAGGAAACTTACAAGTCAGCTAGCTCAGTATCTGTCAGAGGGAAAATGTTAGAAGCTATTATTAAAAACCTTATTACAGGGCACTTGAACAGTTTCAAGTTAAAGAGGCAGAGCCAACATAGTTTTGTCAAAGGGAAATCATGTTTAACCAATTTGGTGGAGCTCTTTGAAGAAGTAACTTGTACTGTCAATGAAGGGGTACCAACGTTGTATTTAGCAAGCATTTGATAAGGTGCTATATCAAAGGTTAATGTGGAAAATAAAAGCTCATGGTGTAGGGAGAGACAGTGGCATGAATAGAATATTGGCTGGCTAATAGGAAGCTGAGAAATAGGTCTTCTTCAGGCTAGCAGAATGTTCTGAATGGTGTGCCACAGAGGTTAATGCTGGGGCTCCAAACCTTCACAATTTATGTAAATGATATGAATGAAGTGATCAAACATATGGTGGCTAAATTTGGTTATGACACAAAGACAGGTAGAAAAGTGAGTTGAGAAGTGGACGTTAAGAGCCTACAAAGGGATATAGATGGGTTATGTGATTGGACAAAGATCTGGCAAATGAAGTACAATGTGGAAAAATGTGAAATTGTCCATTTTGGCAGCAAGAATAAAGAGGCATATTATCTAAATGGTGAGCAGTGTCATGAGTTCTGAGATGAGTGTCTTAATGGATGAATTGCAGAAAGTTAGTGTGCAGGTATAGCAAGTAACTTTTCTTTATTCATTCACAGGATGATGGTGTCACTGGCTAGTCCAGCATTTATTATCCATTCCAAGAGGGCAGCTAAAAGTCAACCACAGAGGGTCTGAAGTCACATGTGGGCCACACTAGATAAGGAGGGCAGTTTCTTTCCCTAAAGGACATTAGTGACTCAAATCAGTTTTTCCTGACAATTGACAATGGATTCATGGTCAACATTAGACACTTGACTCCTGACTTTTAAGAAAATTCAAATTCTACCTAATATGGTAGGATTCAAACCAGGATCCCCAGAACACTACCTTAGATGTTCTATTATTCTCTGGATTGATAGGCCAGTGATAATACCACTAGGCTATCACCTCTCCTAATAGTAATTAGATCAGTTAATAGATTGTGATGGTTTATAGAGGGGAATTGAATGTAAGAGTAGGGAGGTTATGCTTCAGCTATACAGGGCTTGGTGAGACAGTTTCTGGTGTTACGAAGTTGTGTGCAACACTAATGAATTGGAAGGCAGGAAGTTAGAATTTGTTTTTAAAAAGTACCCTTTAAGAGAGAGAGTGCTTTTTTAAGCTTAGAGATTTATACATAAAATGTCTACACGCAGCTGCACAGAGAGTTCCTGAATAGAAACATGTGTATCGAAGGGTTATACTGTTAGTAGGCAAAGCAGCATTTTTACCAAGACAACAGGTTTTTGAATTTAGCCAATTAATTTAAACCAGACCCCAGATATTGAAAGCCAATTGAATTTAAATCTGATGGTGTTGACAACCTAGGATCAATCCTAATAAGAAATGGACAGGTCATCAAGGATATAAAAAAAGGGCATTTGGAATTGGAAAATCAGGAGGGAGAACCAACTGCCAGCCAAGATATAAGCTCCTAGATCTCACAAGAAATCGCTAAGCTCTAAGAAAGCACCATTCTAACCATCAAAGGTACCACAGCACTTCTAGTTAAGAGTCTTTACAGAGAAAACAACGATTAGAGC